AAGGTTTTGCAAACCAAATTGCGGGCGGGCAGGCGGGGCGAATGCTCGGGCAGCGGGCAATCAAGACTCTGACCCCCCTCCCGGGATTATCGACCCTCCTTCTCGCATTGCAATGTGAATCTGATTCTGCACAGTCGTCCATTCTGAATATGTATTCAAACCATCCCAGCCCGACCAGCGTCGCCCCCACCGTCCTCTGCAAAAAAGACAACGCGCGCGCACTCGCCCATCAAGAAATACCATTTGCGATCACCCCTTGCGAGGAGGGGAAGAAACGTCATATATATATATATATATATATATATCTATATATATATACATATATATATATATCCCAGTGGCAGAAGCGCAGAGCGAACTCCCACCCAGACGCCGTTGCCCGAGTGGAAAGCACCGCGCGTGCCGCCCGGAAAAGAGTGCAGGCAGCTAGCGGCTTGACGTCTCATCGTCGTCATCCTCATCCTCCTCCTCCCCCTCCCGGAATCAGGAAAAGCCCCTTCTCTCTCTCGCGGCCTCTTTGAGCAACCTGACATGGCCCACATTGTCGCAGGAAAATTCGCCGCCCCGGCGCGTGGGAAGATGATGGAATGTGAGATGGCGCCAACACATTGCCAAGCCGGAATTCCACCAATTGAACCTTGGTCTCCCCGCCCGCCTCATTCCGTAATCTTTGAGTCGTAGCGCGCCACTACGGGTACAAATGTCTGCGATGGGATCAGAAGGTTGCGCAATAATGACTTCGGCGATCAGCATTCGCCGTCGTTGTTCATAGTACTCGCCGATGGGTATAATATTCTTAATCGGCCGGAAACCTCGGTCATTGCCCCTCGCTCTATCTACCCATATGTTAACTACTTCGTTAGCACGGCGAAAAACAAATTCGTTCGTGTTTGTCCTGTTGACGTATGTTGTCTGAAGCTTGAGAATTTGCCTCAAGCCTTTCAGCTGAAACGCGTCTATGTTCTTCTTAAGTGCATCGTTTACTTGCACAGAATCCAATCCGTAGATAAGTTTAGAACAAACTACGGTGTCGTAAACACCCAACTTGAGCCTTACGCTGCAGTCGGCGCGTTTCCAACACTCCCCGAATTTCTTCCATGTTACAAAACAATCGGACATCCACTTGTTCACCTTTCTGAGCGGGTCACCTTTGTCGTTCAACATGCAATCCAGATATTTCGCTTCACTGTGCGGAGGCATTGGTTGTCCATTTCTGAAGGAAATCGCATCGTGCCCCCCATGCGCACAACGCTTCACATTTGGTTTTGTTTAGTACAATGCCGTACTTGCCTCCCTTCCTTTCGATTGCGCGCAGCAGTTCTTGCAGCGCCTCATTATCCTCTGAGAAAATTATGGTGTCATCCGCATAGGGGACCTCATCCAGTAGGGCGTCCAGTACCCTGTGATGTCTTAGTTTTTCACGCAGCCCGGGCGTGCTATGGACGTCCCTAAACATAACTGTCATAACGATGAGAAAAAGGTATGGGGACAGCCTTGTCGGATGCCCGCATGCTGGCGGTTCCATTTCGATGTTCTGCCCTCCATTTCAACGTGGAACGTTTGTACGCCTCTTGTGTGAGTGTGAGCCTGATGAGTTTCTCGTGGATGCCGATCCTTTCCATAGCTTTGAACAGCCCAGCGTGTGATACCTTGTCCAATGCTTTCTCCCAGTCGAGCAGAACCAAATTGATTGTTCTGCCCGTCCGCTCTCCTAAATCCAGAATCCGGCGTATGATACAAACCGCATGTGCCGTTCTCCGGTTCTCACGGAAACCGTACTGTACCTTTTGGAGGTACGGGCCGATTGCGGTAGCGACGCGACGTTGCAGCACGGTTGCGAAGATTTTGTACATTGAGTTCAATAGAGAGATCGGCCTGTGATTGCTCAGATTGCCAGTGTCTCCTTTTTTATAAATCAGAACGATTAGTGCCTTCAGTTGCTCTTCTGGTACGCTCTTCCCTCCACCAAATGTTCAGCTCCGTTAAGATGAGAGTAAGCATTTCGTCGTCCATCTCTTTGAAAATCTCCATTGGCACTTCGTCTGGCCCTGGCGCCCTGCGTCTTTTGAATTTGCGAATCACTTCCCAGAGCCCGGGCAATGATATGGCTTCCGTCTTGAAATTCAGAGGTTGTTCGACAATCTGGGGGCCCTCGAAAACCTCCGTTCGTTCATCCTCCCTCGCCGGCCAGATCTGTTGCTCCAGATGCGTGGCCGCTCCTCCAGCCTTGTCAGACACTCGGACCGTCTTTCCGCTGGGATCTTTCTGGGTATAGGGGAGGGGCTTGTAGTCAGACTTCAGATGCCGAATACCACACCAGCGATCTCTCAGATCTAGGTCTTTGCTCACAGAAGCCAGTATATTCTCTTTGCGTTCCTTTCTCTTCTGTCTTTGGACAGCGCGGTTCAGCTCTTGAGCCCTTTCGACATTCATGTCTATGAGCGCCTGTCCCCGTGCTTCGATGAGTCGCAGCAGCTCCGTGGATATGCCGATTTTGTCGCGTTTCGTTTTTTCCATCGGTATTTTGTCCCTTGCGACTTCCATCGCTGTCTCAAGGAAGGAAGCGTTGCTCTGGGAGGGAACCGTGGCATTTTTTAGCCGTTGGTTAAACTCGTGTCTTTGCGTCAGACTGCATTTCTCAAATTTGTCTCTGGTGCGATTATTAATGACAGCCTGGGCTTTTAGTTTTACTTAAATGTTAGCGTTTATGGGCATGTGATGAGAATCAACGTTGGCCACTGGGTCACTGCCACAATCAGTCACGCTGTTTTTCCACCTGTTTGAAACCAATAAATCATCGATCGTCTCATATCGGCCACGTGTCCATGGAGGGCCCATGTTGGTTTGTATAGTCCTGTGCGTGGCTAATGTATCGGTGGGCTTGTCGAAAAACGTATTAGCGAGCTGCGCTTTCGTAGTGACGCAGTGGCTGACTAGGAGTGTTCTGCTTTCCCTCACCGAATCATCCTGTGAGGCAAGTGAGATGTGCTGTTTGTCAAACGTGTGTCGTCCAACGCATTCCTCGTTGCTAGAATTTTTCACTTGCACTCTTGCGTTAAAATCTCCTGCAACATACGCGGGGCCTTTTCCGCTGTTTTTTCTGTTGCAGGTGCTTCAGCCGCCGATACACCGCTTCTTTTGTAGCTGTGTCATGCGCTGGGGGGGTCCAGGACCGTGGGGGGTCCGGGACCGGGGGGGTCCGGGACCAGGGAGGTCCGGGACCGGGGGGGCTCCGGGACCGGGGGGAGTTCTTCCTTCCTTTTCCTCCTCCTCCTCGTGCTCCTCCTCCTGCTCCTGCTCCTCCTGCTCATGCTCCTCCTTTTCGTCCTCGTCCTCCTCCTCCTGCTTTTCTTTCTCTTCCCCCTCCTCCTCCACCTCCACCTCCTCCTCCTCCTCCCCCTCCTCCTGCTCCTCCTCCTGGGCCCACTCCTCCTCCCCCCCTCACCCGAACCGGACCGCCCGAAACCGAACCCGCCCCGAGGCAAAACCGAACCGGCTCAAACCGGACCGCCGCCGAAATCGAACCGCTGCAACCGAACCGGGCCGCCGCCGAACCGGCCCGAACCGGAACCTTGGTGCTTCCATTCCTGCCAAACGTAGTGAGGGCCATCATTTTGTAGTCCCCCATCAGTTCCATCAGGGCATGCCCATTCGCATTGATCAGGGGCCCTACTCGACGCACACCAGCATGTCCTACCCATGGTAGGCGTGGCGGTGCGTGAGCGTTGGCACCAACTGTGGCCACCAAAGCCGATCGTGCAGGGACCTGGCTGACAGCGCTGCGACATACCTGTCAAAATCTGTCGCGTGACTCTCAGTGCATTTCGCGGTGCGTATTCGGATCGGTCCCAAGTGGTGGATGTCCTAGTTCGTTGGTCGGGGCGTACCCATTCAAAGTGTACAGGTCCCTCTCATAGCGCTTGCTGGACGTGTTTTTCATTTTGATCCCCTGCAACAGCCAGTCTAACCAAGCGTGCTCACGTCTGACCCCTGTCGGCCTGAAATGCTTCAGACTCAAGGCGATGAGGCGACCGTCCCTCTGGCTCCTGCCCGTGCGAGCAAGGGAATGCACCTCGAACTGGCCCGACATTCAGGTCTTCACCAAATCCATCGGCGAGCCCTTCACTGTGAAGGTGGCAACGTTCTCCACCTTGGCCATCTCCAGCAGCTCGCCCAATCTGCCTACCTCCTCAGCGACTCCACGTTGAAACTCCAGATCGTCAAAGGTCGGACCTTCAGCTGGCTCTTCTGGTCGCAGTCGGTTCCATCATCTGCTTGAGCCCCGCGTACTTCAGCTGGTGTATGGGGTAGTTGGGTCACCGACTTCATCGTCCCAGTGGAAGCCAACTGCGCGGCTGTGGCGCGTGTGCACTTTCGTCCACGATACCAAGCCGCACCCGCCACCAGCGCGAGCCTCACCGCTCGCCTTAGGGCACGCTTGCCACGCATTGCCCTTACGCCCTATTTCCAGCGTCCCCAGTACAAACGGCACCAGCTCAGCCGTCCTCGCGGGTCGGACTCCCCACGAACGCTCACCTCGCAATGGTCCAGGAACCAATGCCCCGTCTCAATGGCCTGCAGCCGACATGGCGCGGCCGACGGGCCAAAGTGGAAGTGCCAGGGCTTCCGCCGAGGAAGAGGTGCCAGCTCCTTCGACCCTCGAATGCGAAGCATCTTCTGGAGGGCGCCACATGTGCGCACGCGGTCTGCACAAGAACGGCCTCAAATGCACCACCAACACACGATCACCCACAAAGAAAGATGCGCGGGCGCAGAACGAGGATCAAATCATCCAAGATGGGAGGCGCACGAATATACACTAATGCATGCGGGTCGTTGCCCGAAACATAATTCGTGTACATCTCTGATTGAACGTATCACGCTCGCGAGCCCAACCCAGAGAATGTCCACGATACTTTGCGCGGTGGCAGACGCGAACGAAATTTCATGGTCATGTTATGGTCCCCAGCAAGACAAAAAAGTCATTCCCCCCGTCCGTCCTCGTGAGCAGGCGCTCCCGCTGCTGCATGGCCCCGAGGATCTTCCACACCATGCTGGAGGACATCATGCCGGGCGGTATGGAAACAGGAGGGCATGCCTCCCGTTCAATGCTTCTGTGCACCGCTGCACCTCACATCCTTGCATGCTGGAGGCCTCCCAAATGGAGTCCGAGTAGAAGGGGGTCGGCGAATCGGCGATGTGAAGGCGCTGTCGGCGATGCCTCGACGTCGTCGGCGCGGAGAAGATCGGGCTCCACACCGGGCCGCATCGCCGATGCTTCGGCGATGCGGCGCGAGCCTCCGACCCCACTTTTTCGGACCCCATTCGGGAAGCATGGACGTGCTGCACCAGGTGACTCGGGGCACTTCGCGTGAGGCGCTCGTCTGGCTTGATCGCAGCCGCAATGCAGAATGACTCAGTACCGTTTAACCGATCCCCATTCCCAGCGACGTGGCCTGGGCCCCACTGGCCGAGTTGCCCCCTAGATGGGGATATTGGTCGTTCCCTGCGGGTTTCGAGGGGTGTTTCCCCAACTGGGGGGGTAATTTGGTGGGGGTCTCGAAGGGGATGGGGATGGGGATGGGGGTCGGTTAAATGAGACTGAATGACGACGCGTTTGAAGACTGCGCAAAGGTGTGTACGGCTTGGCGACGACTGCGGCAAGTCGCAGGAAGCGGCAGCGGTTGAACCGAACGCTGCCAGACTGCAACCGACTCCGTGAAGTTGGCCACGTGCAGGAGAGCTTGTCTTGCTGAGGCCGTGTGACCTACAGTCTGCCACGTAGACTTGCCATAACTCCGATATCATAATTGCAGAGGGTGTGGGACGATCGCAAACACGACATACAGGGAAGCTGCAAACACACATCGTTGGAAACTCAGTAAAAGTGGAAGTGACCGAAGCTAGAAAACCCCTGCTGGTTTCAGGGCGGGCCCGAAACCGAAAGAAGATGATGGCCACGCCTAAAAAGCATTTAAAATACATGCCACGGCTGAAACACTTGGTAGGGCTGGCTCCAGCCACTTTTTCCCAACCATCCTGTGGTGTTGGATCCTCGTTTTGACGAGACAGCGTCCCGAGGTCCTCATCCTCCTCCTCCTCCTCCTCCTCCTCCTCCTCCTCCTCCTCCTCATCCTCATCCTCATCCTCATCCTAATCCTCCTCCCCCTCCTCATCCTCCTCCTCTCCTCCTCCCCCTCCTCCCTCCTCCCATCCCTGCCTCTGCCCTCCGCATGTCCGTGGTTCGGCGCACCCAGTGCAACGCTTCGTGGCCCTATAGGGAGCTCCACCGAAAGCACCAGCGGCAGGGTCCACATGTCGGCGCCGCACCATTTTGGCGCACCCCTCACACGGTTCGTGGCCCTATAGGGAGCGCCACCGAAGGCTCACAGAAACTTTCGGGAAGGCCCAGAAACCGCGAAAGACCTCTGGCCGCATTTGGCCGACTCCAGAATACCTGGATCCAGGAATGTGTCTCACTTTACGTCCGCCACCTTCCGCCGACATTCCGACAATTTGCGCCTGCGGGGTCGCCGCCGTGATACTTCCGCCGCCGTCCACGGGCCTCCCGCCAGCTTCCGCCCGAAGGCGAGACGCGCTGAAGGCGAGGCCCTTCTTCGAACGCCCTATGAAGGGCCGGTTTTCAGCCCTACCAAATGCACGAGAGGAAGGAACTGGTTGGAGCGTCATGAGATGGGGGTACGTCGTGTCCTCATCACCGCCGCCGCGGCCGCCGTCGACGAGTACCGCCGCGGCGCAACTCGACAGCCTGCAGGGCAGCACGCGCTAACGATATCTCGGCTGCCGAACAGAAGGGGATCGAATGGGCCTTACTCTCCTGGTAGGCCAGACGATACACATGGTAAGAGAACGAAGCGTATTCAAAAGTTTCGGGTTGGGGGTGGATAGGGGAGGAGGAGGAGGAGGAGGAGGAGGAGGAGGAGAAGGAGGAGGAGAAGGAGGAGGACCTCGCCATCTTCCCTTCCCGCCGTCGCCTTCCTGTGGTATAGCGGTGGTGAACAAAAAAAACTGCCCATTGCCCATCACCCTACGCTGGCAGCCCCGGGGCGCACGGCGCCGCAGCGCGCCCAGGCCCACAGCACGCGCGGCCGCGCCGGGTGCTGGATCTTGCCCTCCCCCGTCGTGTCCTGCCGTGCCGCGCCTCGCCGCGCCCTCGTACGAAGGCCCGCTGGCCGCCTCGTCACGGAAAGGCGCGGGCCCTCGTACGAGGGCCCAGAGACTTCGTGTCGGGCGCGGCCTGGACAACCCCTAGCAAACCATCCCCTTCCGTGACGTCCCCATCGCCTCTCAAACTTCCCTCCGGACGCGCGGGGCGAGGAGGGCGCCACGGAAGGGGAAGGTTTGTGAGGGGTCAGTTAGGCTGCCCCTTATCCTGCGACGCGGGGATTGCCTCGGGCAAGCCAAAGAGGTCCCCCGGCCAGATCCAAGCGACGAAGCAAAACAGCGCAAGGCCAGGCTGTTCTGCGGTTTCGGCCTCCCGAGGCCGTCTCCAGTCCCTGGGGCCTTCGGCAAACAACTCATGATGAAAAGCTGGTCCCGCGGAAGAGGCCGAGCTCCCTGGGGGGCCCACGTCGGGAAACAAGTGCACCGTCGGAGGAGAGGGCACACTGCGCTCGCTAAAACATAGAATCGGTGAAAGTAGGTCTTGGCTAAACTAGATCGAGAGTTTGGCTCGCCGACTTTCGTAATCATTCTCAGAAGCTCCACCCCCAGGGCCGCCCCCTTCGCGAAGCGCTCTTGTTGCGCGACGCCGCCAGGCAGGATCTGGGCAGCCGCACGCGAACCCTACGCGGGTCCACGTCGCGACGTCGGCGCTGCTTTCGGACGCCGCGGGGATCATTCAGCCCTGAACGACCGCAGATCTCCGACGAAGCAGAACGTCTGACATTGGAGGATCCAGGGCCACTGCCATGGCAGCGTTCACCCTTGAACGCCCGCGCTGGACCTCCACAAGTCCACACCCTATGGTGCCGTGCATTCTTGTGGGCGTCAGGAATTACGAGCGAGCACGCGCGGAGTGAGCCCCTCCACTGGTGAACCGCCACGGGTCCAAATCGATGGGCGGTAGGGTAGAGCTTGGATTTCGTCTCTGGAAAACGAGAAAGGGAAATGTCTGAATGATCGGCCCAACTGCAGAGAAGTGCGTATGGGTCGCCTCTATCAACCCTCACCGCGTGCGGGCTTTAGCTCAGACAGGAACGACGTGAGCTTGCTGCGCATGCTAATACTTAGTTCCCACACTGTCACCCGATATCGCTGCAGACGCGAGGTGTTGCGAAGCTCGAGGACCGCCTGATCGTCTGATGGCATCTCACAGCTGCAGCACTCTGGGAAACCATAACAGCCAGTGCGCGGGTTTCAAGGAGCGCCATCTGGCCTGGTTTGGGGGGCCAAGCATCTGTTCCTGTCCACAGGGTGGGGCCCCAGAGGCACACATCGTCACGATGCTCTGAATGCGGAGTCGTAAGAGTCCCAGCCTGCGGAAAAGGCACGGTGTGGATGAGCTCGGTGCATCTCCGATGCGCAATAGCAAGGGTTGGTGGATCCTATGAGATCTGCCCGTCCGTACTCTTCGGCTTGTCTTCCACCCGCCTGGGCCATCGCCCTCTGACTGCCACTTACTGGCCTGCACACCCCGTTCTCGTCCCGACGAATGGCCCCATCTTGAGGCATCCAATTCCTCCCCTCCTCGGTTCTGGCGCCAGCGACATCCTCGGCGATCGCGTCCTTCGCCCTAATGTCCTACAGGGAAGGCGGGCCCGCGGGGTTCCTCTTCGCTCCTCCCGAGCAGGCACAATTCCACTTATGGCCATGCTCCACGTCGAAATCTCTTCAGCCCACTACTGACAGGAACCTTCTGTGGCCAGCCAATGCATTCTGACATCGCAGCGCACGTGTGAAGCTCCTCAGAGCGCTAAAGCAAAATTCTGCATATCAGCGCCGACCGTGTAGCGATAACAAGATGCACCCGTGATTCTGGAGTCAAGCATGAAACGCACAAGGTGCCGAAACGCATGCACAACCACAGAACCACGAAGCAGAGATAGTATATCACCATGCAATGTGCGTGACAGCAGCGGAAAGCACCAGAAAATTGCGCGAGACAAGCTCTGCAAGTCCTGGCTCTCGTCTGACATCAGGAGGGCAGACCGATAGACATCATATCCATCGGCAGGCCGATATCCGGAAGGCGAACTCTTCTGGCAAACCGGTAACCGGTCCTGGCTATCGTCCGCAATGGTACCGTCGAAAAGATCGATGGCGGGAGGGCTGCCGGGATCCGCGTGCAGCCAGATCTTCGTTCGCGGGTCCAGCCCAGGGCCTTCCCTTCCCCGCCCCTGCTCTGCTTGCGGATTCGCTCTATGTTGTATGTAAACCGAGTGGCCCGACAATTTCACAATCACACGCTCGCGCACGTTCGAATGCCAAGACATGCATGCACACTGTTCCAACATGGAACACCGAAGATATGCATGACAACGACTGCGGGCCCTGCTGGCACGCACCAAACAATTGCAACGACATCCACAGCACACCCCCACACTACCCCTGCCCTCCTGGCTGCGAGGAAGAACTGCTGAGGAACACCGAATTCAAAAGAGAATCTGCTCCCGCGCGGGATGACGGCGGAATCGTGATCAGGTTGTCAAGGGCGAACATTCCGTCAGGGCCAAGTACGGCAGCTACCCCCTGCACACATCTTGCGTCAACAATCAGATTGGCACGTGCATGCGGCAGTACATATATGGAGGCCTCCCAAATTGGGTTCGACATGACAGGGGCTGGAAAATCGCGCTGTATCGCCACTGCATCGCCGATGCATCGGCGATGCATCGGCGCCATCGGCGTGGAGAAAATAGGGCTCCACATCGAGCCACATCACCGATGCATCGGCGATGTGGCGCAATCCTCCGCCTCCATCTACTCGGACCCCCTTTGGGAGGCCTGGAATTCACACTTGCATGCGACATGAAATTTGTTTTTTCCTCAGCTCGGCATCGCCACCATGTCAAAGAGCCGCCTCTCACATACGGACAGCAGCCCGCACCAAGCCCCACAGACTCACTATGCTGCAAACTCCCACGCAATGTCTAACGCTGTACGGCAAGATACGGCCAAGACACCCGACTTCGTGCATCGCGCCTCGCAATGCGCGACGCGGGGTTATATTAGAGAAGGGCAGCTGGGCGGCCCAGGCCGCGGCGCGCGAGGCGCGATTATCTCCGTGCCCTTCGGGGTGACCTAGGATACGGTTGCGTTGAGCACCAGGAGCTGCACAGTGCCACACGAGCATACCAATCAAACGACGACACCCTGGTGCGCACAAAGTGCTGCGCCCTGTGAGCTCCTCACTCTCTCTCTCCCTCGCTCTCTCTCTCTCTCTCTCTCTCTCTCTCTCTCTCTCCCTTTCTCTTTAGCGCGCGGGCCTGCACGCTGTGCGGCAACATCAAACCTGCTGCCACGCTGTGCCGCGGCCAGGGCTGGGCTCCCTCACCGCTTATGCCTCGCTTTCCCCAAGGCAACAGCCGCGGATAACTGACAAGCGCCACCACAAACACATGCTGCGCCAAAAAGCACCAGGCGCACCCGGAGTCACGCGAGGGCCAACCTGCGATGGGCGAATCAACGCGCGAAAGCCCGTGCAGCATTGCCTCTTGCAGAGCGGTCCAACATTGCGCCGAATCAGGATCGGTCAGCATCGGATCTGGAGATCTGGTCGTGTTGGGACGTGCGCCGAATCGGGCTGCGTCGGCGAAGGATCGGCTTCGACTCGAATCGACTGCGCCAGGGTGTACAACCACGCCACGCAAGCATCTGGCCGAATCGGATCGCAGAAAAAACGAAAAACCGAATCGGATCGAACTTGCCAAATACTCGCAATCGCTCGGACGTTCATTCCCCGGGCATTTTTTTCGATTTCGTGCTTGTTGTTTCTGCTCGATGATCCGGGCTGCTCCTCCATGGTCCCCGCCGAGAAAAAGTTCACACTTCCGAGCGGTGCCAAGAGCATCTGGCCGCACCGGTTCGTAGGAAAATCGACAGACCGAATCGGATCGAACATGCCCGATATCGATGTTCACCATCGATTCGCTCGGGTCGAAGCGGACCCTTTCCGAGGCCGGCAGGCGTCCATGCACGAAAACTTGACATCGCTCAGACGGCCATTCCCCGTGCAGGTTTCGGTTGCGTGCGCGTGCTTTGCTCGACGGTCCGGGATGTCCCTCGATGACCATCGCTGAGAAAAGAACGCACACGTCCGAGTGGTGCCAAGGAAAGAAATCTCTTGCGGGTCTTCCGCGGATCCACCGCCCATGGCCCCACGGCGTCCCATGACAGACTCGGGATCCACCAAAGACCCCGCCCGCGAGAGGCCCTCAATAGGCTGCGCAACACTCGTGCGCTGCTGCAGCTGCGCCACGCGGCGGCATTGCTTCGAGGCTCCCCCACCGCGGTGGAGGATATACGCGGCAACGCAACCAGATTGTGAATTCAATGCGCACGCTCCAGGGAGAAATTCCCACGCGCCTACGGCAACGCAGTGTCAATTCGGGAGCTCACGTGGAGGAGATGCAGCTACGCCCGAAAAAATGTGATCCCGAATCGACATCCCCTTCCTGCTCCCCCGAAGCCAGTGTCTTTTTCACAACTCGCCCTCTTGCCCCTCATCCCCCTGTACCTCCTATGATCCGCCTTCCACCGTGCGTTCAGCACGCCGTGGAATGCCCTGAAGCGCGTACGGATGTGGGTGTTCCACTGATTGTGGGAGCATGGAGGGTCCAGGCCACAGATTTGCAACAACACTGTAATGTATGTACAGTTACATGTATATGGACATGTCCATGTACATGTGAATGTATATGAATGTGTAAATGTATATGTGCATGCATACGTAGATGTATAGGTGAAATGTATATGTACATGCATATGTACATGTCAATGTAAATGGAAATTGACATGTAAATGTATACACATATGCATATGTACAGGTACATGTACATGTATATGTGTTTGTGTACGTGTATATGTATGCACATGTATACCTATACATATATATAGAGAGATATGTACACTAGAACCACGCGCGCTACGCGCGCTGAGGTTCTAGTCACGGCATCATGGCGCCAAAGGATGCCACGGCAAGCAGTGCCATCGACAGCGGATCTCGATCCAGAGGGTCCTGACGGCCGACCCTCCTGGAGCCTTGGAAATCTCGTACTGTGCTGCCTCCTTCCTCGCGTAATTCCGTCACCATGCTTCATTGCAGGAAGGTTCCAGAACTGCCTCGATTGAACTAGGCTGAATCGAACGGCCGCGAACCAGCGTCCCCCCCAAGACGAATCGAACCGAACCAGAATGGTCGCGGTAGAGACCCGAACCGAACCGAACCAAGATCGCTTGTGGACCGAATGGGGCCGAATCAGACCGATACAGACCAAACCGGAGCGGTAAATCCACCCCAGGGAGTGGGGAACGAAACCCGAGGCCCAACAGAGAACTGCCCGGACTCCCCCCCTCTGCTCGTCATCGTTGTCGGCCTCATCATCCTCGCCCTTTGTCTTCGTGCTCGCCCTCGTCCTCGTTCGACTTTGTCTCCTCCATGGCCTCTTCCTCATCCTCCTCCTCGTCTTCCTCCTCCTTCTCGTCCGCCCTTGATGGATTCTGGACACTGGGCTTTGGACCCGTGGCTCCGGGGACCCGCGTTGACGCCTGTGGACCCATCTTCGGCCCCTGGAATCCTCCACGATCCCTGGACCCCTCCTCGGCCCCGAGAGTGTGGCCCCAGGACCCCACGTCAAGGAGCAAGAAGAGCAGGAGGAGGAGGAGGAACAGGACGGGGAGGAGGAGGAGGAGGAGGAGGAGGAGGAGGAGGAGGAGGAGGAGGAGGGCAGGGAAGGATGAGCAGCATCAAATGAGGAGGTGCAGGAGTAGGAGCAGGAGAAGGAGCAAGAGCAGGAGGGGGAGAAGGAGAAGGAGGAGGAGAAGGAGGAGGTGGGTAATGGGGGGGGGCAGAGGGGGGAGAGGAGGAGCAGGAGGATGAGTAGCAGGAGGAGGAGGAGCAGCAGCAGCAGCAGGAGGTGCATGAGGATCAAGGGAAGGAGGGGGAGGAGCAGGAGGAAGAGGGGGAGCAGGAAGAGAAGGAGGAGGAGGAGAAGGAAGACAACGACGACGCAGAGGAGGAGGAGGCACCCGGGGGACGTCGAGACGCCGTCAGCAATGTCGAGACTGCCCCTGGCGACCGCAATTCCTTCCGCCTCCTCCTCCTCCTCCTCCTCCTGCCCCTCTTCGTCTTCTTCTTATTCGCCTTCATATTATTATTGTTATCAGTATTATTATTATGATTATTATTATCATCATTAGTAATATTATCATTATTATTAGTATTAGTATTAGTATTATAATTATGATGATTATTATTAGTAGTACTATTACTACTACAATTTTTATTATTATTATTAGTATTATTATTGCTATTATTAGTATTATTATTCTTATTCTTATTGGTATTAGTATTATTATTATTAGTATTATTAGTATTATTATTATTCCTCCTCCTCCTCCGCACATCCCCCCCCCAGCATACTCCTCCTCCTCCTCCTCCTCCTCCTCCTCCTCCTCCTCCCCCTCCTCCTCCTCCTCTTCCTCCTCCTCCTTGCGGAATACCTTTTACCCGTGAATCAGCATCGCGGCAGCTCTCTCTCCGCACGCCGCCCTGCCGTGCTGGGGCGACGAGGCGGGGATGGCGCCGCGGAGGGGGCTCGCGCGACAGGTGGGCGACATGGCACCCCAGTCCGCAGGCTGACCAGTCAGACCTACGTACTGCATACAAGGATTCATCCAGCAAGGTGCAAATATAGAATACAAAGGTTCGTGCAGTGGCCAGCCCAAACAAATAAGGTATAAACCGTTGACGTGTGTAGTGTACTTCGGCGTTCCTACATACAGGGCGCGCCCCGATGGGGGAGCGGCCCTGAGAGGTAGAAGGCGGTGCGCCCGTGGCCTTCGAAGTTGTTCCTGGGGGTGCTCCGCTCGACTTTGGCGTCGTCGTTTTCAGAGCGGCCCACAAGGCTCGCTTGTTCTCGTTGCGGTTGTGCTGCTTCCGGTCCCTCTGCTTATCGGAAGGCGGCGGGCGCAGGAAACAGCGCTTGTGCAGACGAGGTAACTCCTCCTCTGCATGAGTAGTCGTTCCCTGCAAGAGGTCCTCGGTCAAGTCTGGCACGACTTTCACGAGGTAGTCACGGCGTCCAACCCAAGCCCTGTTTCCGAAACGAGCTTGAAAGAACCTTCGACCTTGCAACAGACCTCGTGCACAAAATCACCGTACCGGGCGTCCCGGGAAACCTGCACCTCGAAGCTGTCCCCGGAGATCGGATTGAGACACTGCGCGATGAAATAATCATCATCCGAGCCGTCGATTGTGACCTGTATGATGTTCAATGGGGCACGGTGCTCCGGTGCAGTAGCGGGTGCTGTCGTAGGCAACGGTCGTGGATCGTGTTTGGCTCGTTTCCGTGCATGTTCATGTCTGGCGGCGGCCCAAATCGGCACTCCTGCGCCCACGTCGGCCCGGAAGCGGACAGATCCAGCCGGCCGTGACACAGCAGCGCAGCTGTCTTTGTTCGGCTTCTTGGCCTGGGCATCCGCCCGAAGCTGTTCGCTGAGGCGGTCAACTTTCCACAACTGCTGAGCCT